CGAGCGTTATAATATATCGCTTTTAGGATCCGGACGAAACCGTGATGCGATTCGTCATTATTATCGAGGAAAAATGATGTATTTCTTCGGTGCACGCGGTAAAATGTGTAGCGCGATATTAGCGATTTACTAATATATTTTATTGAACGCTCGAGTTTTCGACTGGTTGTGGTGACCGTTCAACGGACGAAGGCTGTTTTAGAAAAATGACATTGGAAAATTATAGAAAACATAGTACAGATATGTTAGGTAGATAGGACATAGGTTAGGCTACGTACCGTTCTATTTCGTATACAAGTGAAGGTATCGTAAAAGGAACAATTGACGGAGGGAACACAAGTATATAACCCGTACCGTAAATCCTTGAACGCAAAATACACGAAACATCGCAATTCCTCGGTATTATAAATATAATAAATAATACATTTTCAACTTTCAGAGTAGGTTTCTCATCAACAGTGGATTTTAAACGGCTCATACACGACATTATGTGAACTGCGCTATTGATTGATTAGGATTCAGTAAAAATGTTTCTATACAGTTTTGAATTCTGAGCAGAGCGAGGAATGTATTGATTTTACAGTGGTGTTTCTTTTTTGTTCTGTAGACAACTTACCAGCAATTATGCTCCGATTTTCAACGATAGTCCCTTTTCTGAAAAGAAATCGGACTGGGGAGGTACTTTAAAGAGGTCATTTTTTGATTTTCTCAATAAATAGGATAAACATGGGAAAATAGGTACAATATTAAACAAAAATTATATACGGTCTATGGTAAAAATGTTTTTACACCGTTGCACACAACGGACTAATGATATCGAAAGCTGGCAGAGATTGCATAGGTATTATATGGTATTGAACTATTTTATCGTATTATTATTATCGATTATGCACCAAATAAAGGTGTTTATACTGCACTGGAAACCGGTTTCACGTACTCGGTGCAACTCGAATTAACCAAATTACAGCAGTCACAAGTCCGCCCCGTTACATTTTAATATAAAAACCAGCCGCGTATGACTTTTGAAAGTTTTACTTTTTTTTTCAGAACTTTGCGATTTTATTGTTTATTCAATTCAATTTATCACGGAACCATTATAGCAACAGGTCAGTCACGTTATTTGTTTTTTTTTTTATCCTATAGAATCAGTGTTACTGAGTTATATTAAGCACTCATAAGTTCCATGATAACGATATACAATTTAAATAATAGTAAATAGAGTGTTCTTTCACCCAGATGAAAAAAGAGTTGCCCATACAACTTCAGTGGCGTATTTAAGGGGAGTATCCTGGGGGTTAAACCAAGCCCAATATTTTTTCTAGTTCTTTTCAAAATATTGTTGACGATTGACGAAGTATTTTAAAACTGCTTTCAAAATTTCCATCATGGGATTAATCATAATTGTAGACTATTGTAAACTAAAAAATAATATATTAAGTTTATGTGTATTACACGAAAACATTATGAATATACGATTATAAAAAATTAATTAAACTGATATGGGAAATACTCAGTAAATTTAAGTGTTAAATTAGTTTTAATTTATTCAGTCAAATCATTTATACTTAATTCCTGTCATAATTGTATTATAATAAAAAATTTAAGTAGCAATCGTAAGATTTTCTTACAAGGTTTTAAGGTTTATTATCAGGTGTGAATTCATGATGAAACTATGTTAATACTTGCGGAAAAAAAGTACTGCCAGGACTCAGGACACCCTCCCAAAAAAATCTAAAAATACGCCACTGTACAACTTTATCGATCGTACTGTACACGTTTGTAGAACTTAACATTTTATGTCTAATTGGATTTATTTCGTCGCATAAAACGCGTCTCTCTACTTTATTCCAACTACATTTTTTGAATCCTACATTTCGCATTCTCGTCAAAGCTACCGTTCTTTTGAACAAAAGATCAAACGCGATTTGAACTTTCGAGTAGCTATAAACTAAATGCGAGGCCCACGGCCCGGACACGCCTCAATATGACGCGTCGTACGCGTATAAGCACCGGCGGCGCGCACGGTCTGTTTAAATTATATTCAGTTTTTTTTTATTATTATTATTTCAACCGACGTGTTAACACCGAAACGTTAATCGCCGCCGAGGCGCACAGCGTTTATCATAATTATCGAACAACATACAGGATGATTCTTTGTTATCGTTGAACACTCGTTATTTCGCTAAGTATAGACTTAGAAAAAAAGAAAAAAACAAAAATTGTATTTGACAATATCTAAAAAACAAGCGAATCTAAAGTGGCACATCACCGTTACTTTTTGGTCACCTTTATTATTGTATGGGGTTGAAATCACTTCCGACTTTGGATCTTCAACCGTCAATGTAAATTAAAAGTTCCATCGGGGGGACGGTAGTGGCGGCGTATCGTTTTAACAGCGTTCCCGTTATATAAACACACTCTGCCTCTACCCGTACTTAAAAGTACAATGTCTCGCGAGCGGGTCGGCGAAACCCGAACATTTTAGCGCCGAAACGTGTTCAAACCAATACCCTATAATGTACACTGTCCGTGTGTTCGCGAAACTTTCGTAACGTGGCCCCGGTCGCCGTTTGAAATGAAGTCAGCCGGCGGACAGCGGTCGGATCCGGCCCCGAAAATAACGGCCGCGTAACGTTTTACACGCGTTCGTTTTACGTTGAACCCCCGAGACGACGCGCCACTCCTACCTATCCGCCGCCCGCCGAGAAGTCAACGATTCCGCGAAACGGCGAACGTCCGGCGCGAAAACAACCGCCCTGTATACGGTCGGCTGTACACGCGGGCAGTACGACAATGGCGATAATGTACGTTCACTTACGCGTACTCACGTGACGCGTCGGTGCGCGCCCGCCCAGGTACGCAACAATATAATGCGTACCTGCGCGCATTCGCCATTCTCTCACGACCCCGTCGCGCCGCGCGGTACCGACCGCCGAAAGACGTCCCGTCATCGCGCGCGCACGTCTTGCGCCGCGCCGCGCGTTTCACGAGGCGAAATAAATAAATAACGCGCGGGGCCGGCAGGGCATCATCCGGCGGCGCCGAGTACGGTACCGCCGCGCCGTTATTGCGATAACGACCGGGCCCCCGTTAATCGCGCGACTTTCCGCAAGTCTCGTTAACGCCCGCGCCCGGAAAACCGCCCGGCCGCGTATAAAAATTTCGCCGACGCTCGTCGGCGAGGGGGGTTCGAACACACGCCCCTCCCTCGAAAACTCTCCGAACGGGGGAAAAAAAAAAAAAAAACAACAAAACAACAAACGTCCAATCGGTCGGAAAGGAAATTTTATCTTCTCGGCGCATTAGAGGGATCGTTTTAGACCCGGAGCGCACAGCGACCGGGATATCCATTGGTTTAACTATACGACGTGTGTGTATTTTAGATTCTGGGTGGAGCGAAAAAGCTTATAGTTTTAATTTTTTTTTTTTTTTTTCATCCGTGCGCAACTTTTCTACCAAGAAGACTTGCTCGGATTTCTGTGTGTGGCGCCTTTTCTGAAAGGGAATGGGCGTAGAGAGGTACTTGAGGAAGATCATTTTTCGATTTTTCCAAGGGTTTTCCCGACAAATGTGAAAACCATGGGAAAACCAAGAAAAACGGGAAAATCGATACATTAAACAAATATTTAAGAAAATATATTATACATATGTAATTATTATACCATAATGTTACATATATATTCTTGACAAAGCATCACTATCAAATGAACTGCGCTCAGAATTAATTTTTGTTATCAATGGATTATCGTTGCTTACATATATACATTAAATTATCTATAACAGTAACATGCACCCGACCCCATTACCCAAGCGATTTTAATAATAATGGGGAAAAAAGTAGGTAATTTTATGTACGTGTACAAAAGAAACTGACTTCGAATCGTTTTTAAAACAGCTGAACCTACAATTATGCAGAGATAACTCAAAAAATTCAGTTTTTAAAATTTAGACTTTTAGATTTAATATATTATTGATCACACATCAGACTGTATAAAACGATATAGATATTCGTTTAAAAAACAAATATGGACAATAATATTTTACACAGACAATTCGGAGCAAAGTTCGGTACACTTAGAATCTGAAAGGAAATAAAATAGAAATAATGAAAGGAATATCTTGTACAAGATGTATTACATATTTCCTATATTATAAATATAGTAAATTACAATTTCTTATAAAATAACCTGAACTTAAAATATTTTGAATCATATTATTAGGTAGTAATATAATTTTTTAAAGTCCATTATTGATGTATACACTATAAGATAGATTTTTTGAAGTAGATATTAACAATTTTCATTTGTGCAATGATTCTTATCAAAATTATATTTATAAAATATTAACACCTTTAATAGTGAAATGGTACTCTATTATAAAATGGCATGACACATAAATACATAATAACACTACAGAACATTATTAGAAATATTATTATAAATCTTGTGTTCACCTGTCAAGCATATTTTAAATATTCAGAACATACAAACTTAAACAAGTTATAACATAAAATAGATAACAATTCTAAAATTTAGTATGGCTTAATACAAACAAATTTTTTAAAACTTGTTGAAAAAAAATTAATATTAAATATATATTAAATGTTAAAAAATGAAAAAAAATATCATTGATGATGCTTTCTTATATAAAATGTAAGTACTTATAAACATGATATTTCTCAAACATCATAATTATAAGATTACTAAAAAATTAGGATATGCTTTACCAAATATCATTGATATAAAAATGATTTAGTCATTAATCGTAAGTAAAATATTAACGTAAGTGTGAATCTTCAGAATGTGATTTTATAATTGCTGAGATTATAGTGAATGTTATAATACTTATAAACTTCACTAAAGTATTTGTTATATCCCACATATATTCAAATGTACTGATTAAGAAAATGTGTTCTTGCATAAATAACATTAGTAAGGCCATTCCTGTCATGAGTTATTGTATAAGTGTTTAAATACTTTTAACTAAATATTTGAAAAAAATTATTCTGGTTCAGATTTGTAAGGCTTAGTGTCACAATGAATTAACTTATGCCTTTTTAAATTGGACAATTGAGAAAATGATTTTTCGCAAATATTGCATTTAAAAGGTTTCTCACCAGTATGAACCCTTATGTGATTAGTCAATTGAAACTTATACCTAAATGATTTTTTACACTCATTACATTTGTAGGGTTTTTCTCCTGTATGAATTAAGTTATGCCGATTTAAAGTCGACAATTGAGAAAATAATACTTTGCAAATATTACATTCGAAAGGTTTTTCACCGGTATGAATTAACTTATGCCGATTTAAAGTGGTCATTTGAGAAAATGATACTTTGCAAATATTGCATTTAAAAGGTTTCTCACCAGTATGAATCCTTATGTGAGTAATCAATTGAAACTTATGCCTAAATGATTTTTTACACTCGTTACATTTGTAGGGTTTTTCTCCTGTATGAATTAAGTTATGCCGATTTAAAGTGGACCATTGAGAAAATAATACTTTGCAAATATTACATTTGAAAGGTTTCTCACCGGTATGAATTAACTTATGCCGATTTAAAGTAGACAATTGAGAATATGATACTTTGCAAATATTGCATTTAAAAGGTTTCTCACCAGTATGTTTCCTCGTGTGAATCATCAAATGAGCCTTACGGTTAAATGATTTTTCACACTCATTACATTCGTAGAGCTTTTCTGCTGTGTGAATTAACTTATGACGATTTAAATTGGACAATTGAGAAAATGATTTCTCACAAACTTGGCATTTTTTTTCATTGTGAGTTTTTGTATAATTTTTTAAAGCGTTTGCCTGATTTGATTGTTTTATTTCTTCTTTAGAGTTGTATATGTATCTGAAAATATTATAACCACAATATATATTAATTATCTTAATCTCAAAACTGGACAAAATTTAATTAGGAGATAATATAATAAAAGATTTAAATAGTATAATACAACCTAAGAATACATATTATATATATAATATAATACCTACCGCTTGTATAAAAAAAAAAATAGTATAACCTAAATTTGAAGATTCTTGTAGGCAATATAACAAAACAAACAGAAATATTTATTGAAAATTGTTCGTTTAATTTGTTGAATAATAATTTATAAAATAATATAATCAGTTAATTTAGTTTAGAGTTACACTGACAAAAATCGAATATAATGACAATTTAAATAAATCCAAAACAAAACATTGGTAGTGTAAAAAATATAAAAATTGTATAATTAATACAATTCATTATTCAAATAGTTTTATATAATATAATTAAATAATTTTTTAAATCATTGTTTTATTAACTTTTTCCAAAGCTAGTATAATATGGGTTTTTTTTTTTGTTTTTTGATTAGAGAAATAAAATTTTAACAGTTTCTAATTAGTACAACTAATTTGCAATTATCACATAATTATGTATATAATTTTTAATAATTAATTAATAATTATTAATTGTGCTCTGCTGATTGATCACTGATAGCTTTAAGGATATGTGTAATACGGAATGACATTATTTTACATATTTCATCAGTTTAATTTAATTTAATTAAAACTATTAAAGAAAAAAAAACTTACTGTGGTGGTTGGTTTTCATTGTCAGTTAATACATTCTCAAACTTACAATCATTTAATAAATAAATATTTTTGTTTATTTCAATTGCTCGTGTACTTGGTTGTTGAATTTCTTCTCCAGAGTTAATTGTAAATCTAAAAAATTAAAAATCATAGTTAATATTAGGTAATCATCATAAATCCAAAAATAAATAATATATACAAATATTTAAAAAATCATATCTTAATATCTTATGAAAGATGGTAAACTCCAAACAAATTAAATATTTTAAAAATAATACAACAGGTACCTAAGCATAAAAAAAATATGTAAAAATGTATCAAAATATTTGTTTTTGATCATCAATTATCCTCCTTAAATAGTATAAAGTCGCTTTCTGCGTTTGTCTGTATATCCACTAACTACTCCTAAACTACACAACGGATTTTGATGCGGTTTCCCCATCAATTTCACGTTATTCAGAGAAGGTTTATAACTATTGAAATCTATTTCCTATTGAATATTATCCTCTAAAATTTTTTTTTTTTTTTTTTGTACTATTGTACTATTATTAATTTACGAGTTGTCTTGGTAACATGGATGAAAAAATAACTGAGATGTACCAGAGATACTAGCAGAAAACGGTTACATCTAAATGACTAAACTAAAGTAAAACGAGAAATCAAGCTATCTAATACAAAAAAAAGTAATAATTAGAGAAGAAATAGGGAAACTTCCGCTGAACGTAAAGTTCCTTTAAGTCGTGACAGCATTATATATAGATTACAGACAGCTAGGGAATCATCTAAACTCATGAGAGCTGTAAATTTGTGGTCTAATGAAGTGAATTACGATTCTTCTGTTGATTACAATAATGATCCTTAAAAATACTCACTGTAGATGTTGGTTGTCACTATCAACTTTTCTTCCAGTGTGCGTTTCCATGTGGCATGTCAAACTTGATTTAGAATTAAATGTGTTATGACAGTATTTGCACGTATAACTCTTTTTTCTAATTTTCGATTTTTCATGTGAAATTAATTTCATAGGAACATTTTCAATAGTTATTATACTTTCAAATGTACAACCATTTATTAAATCAAATTCTTTTTTTATTTCAATTGTTGGGCTATTTGATTGTTCTTTTTCTACTTCAGAGTTGTGTATGTATCTGAAAAATTTTAAAATCCTAATAATTAGTTATTAATATTAGAGCAATATTTCTTAAACACCTCTTAAGTGTTACTTATAAAAATTGTGGTCCGGAAGGCCTGGAAAAAGTTAATTGAAATTCTACAAAAATTAACCATTTAACAATTAAAATAAATCAAAAATGACATGAGTATTGATGATTTTCACCTAAAATTTTTCTCTTTTAGCCCATCATGTGTGGAAGTATGACAATTTATTAAATTTGTTATAATAATATTACCACCGATATGAGTAAACAAGAGAAATTATGTATTTTTTATTTTATGGGTTCCGTGTAAAAAAATATTATTGTTTGATGTTCCGTAATCTCAAAAACTTTAAGAAACACTGTATTAGAGGTTTATATATTTTAGGTAAGTACCTGCTAAATATATGTATAATGTGAATAGTTAGAAATATAACAATAGGATGTTAACTAATAATAACAGTTAACTTATAATAATAGTTAACTTATAATAATATAATTTATAATATAATAATAGGATGTTAACTTGTAAAAAAATTGTCCTAATTTTTTTTCAGAGTAAAAGGGTTGTAAGTTTTACAAATCCCAATAAGGGCACTTGAAAATGTTCTCACAAAACAGAAAAAAATAAGAACTGAAGTGTACATAAACTTATGGTTTTAATCATGGCAAAATAAAAATAGAACCAATATTAATGAAATATATGAATTGCAAATAACAAACAATATATTTATTCTTTTTAAATTGTTTCAGATTAATTATGATAATTAAATGTTTAAGTTTATATGAGGAACGAGTAATAGTAGGTAGGTACATAAATTTAATAAATTAGAAATACACTTTGAATGAATAATTTCTCTTTCTAATGTTATTAAAATGTGTATAATACTATTTGGATACTTTTTGGTAATTGAAAAAAAAAAAAAGCATATAATCTAAAGTAGCTTAAGTATGCTATATTTGAAATGATAACAATTTTTAAAAAGGTTAATATTAATATTTAAATGTTTACAAAACATAATATCAGTATTCAAAGAACATTTTGAACCGAACAATTTATAACACAGACATTGTTAAGTTAACATTCTTTTTAAATCTTGAATTAGATTATATGTTTACAAATTGGAATACTGTTTCTATGTTTAAATATAAGTAGTAGTAAACATTTTTTAAATATACTATTAAAATTAAACACGTTGATCTTTTTGTAAATACCAATGGTACTTGTAAAGTTTGACAACTTTAATATACATTTTATTTATTTATTTATAATTATTTCTAAATTGCCTAAATTGCCAACTCTCAATACCATAAGCAATAATAGATTGAACAAATGAGATATAAATTATTCTCAATTGCCTTTTATTAACTTTGGATCTAAAGTTTTGGAAGATGTAAATGAATTTACCAATTAACTTTATTAAATATCCAATGTTCTTATTCCATTTCAATTGCGAGTCAATAAATAACCTTAGATATTTTTTATAACTAATATTATCTATACATATACACATAATCAATGGTATGTAGCTGGAAAAACTGTAGTTTATAGTATCATTGTATGAATGTTGATAATACCTATTAATTTGTAAGATGTTTAGAATGTATAAGTAATTTATGAATCATACCGGGTGCCGGGGAATCGGTACCTAGATGCGTTTGGCATTAATGGCCTGTACACTGTAATGCATTAAAAAGGAAATAAATAAAAATGGGCAGATAATATTATTATATTAAAATATATTGTTCATAGAACACATAAAATCATATCATTCTTTAACCCGTTATTTAAGACGTTTGTATTGGGTAGGTACTCTGGTATCCTTAGTAATTAATAACTTAGCTAATGATAGTTTAGATAACAAAATTTAGTAATAGCATTGATCATAAATATATAACTAAATATACGATCAATTATAATACGTAAGTGTCTCATAAATACTCACTTTGAATTTGTTGAAGAATTTTTGATACATTGATTAAGTTCCATGATAGATATTAAAATATTATACCTATAGTAATATGTCAGTTTAATGTTGTCATCAATAAAATAAACACAATAATAATAATCTTAAGTAATACAAAAAAGTCATCATATTGTAATAGAAAAATTATTTTATTTTTTTATTTTAATCTTTTAACGCAATATCGACTGATAAATCATTCCCGAATGGTTTCAACCGACAACTACAGGCGTATAATTCAAATGTTAAATAGACCGTTTGACGGGTTTGACATTGAGCAAACACGTGCACGGGACTACGAAACAGGTTTTCTCATGGAAGAAAAAATATGTGAAAAATTACAAAATCTTTATTTCGTATTTCGTTTTTCATTTGACTGAATATCTATTCGATTTTAGAAAAAAAATTGATCATTTTAAATGGACATTTTATTAAGAATATTTAGATAAAATTATCATTAGATAATATATAAGACCAGAACATTATGAGACAATCGTAGATAATTTTCATTTTACATAATCTTATATCCAAAGTTTAAATATCTAATTAATCCATCTTGATTTTATCTGTTGACTATCAGCAGTACACAGTATAACAGCGGCGTATTTACGGAGGGTGTTGTGAGTTCCTCTCACCCGTACACGTCGAGTCGAGGTAATCGAAGTTGAAGGGGGATAAAAATTCACTTCGAGATACCTAACACAAATTTATCGAAATTAAATCAAAACTAGGAGTTATGCAATGAAATATAATTTTAAAATTTTACGATAAAAAAACTATGCGACAGGTTAACCGGGAATAGAAACGTAAGCATTGATACGTACGGTATACGGGGAGTGCGGAGTGTTTCGATAATACATCTCACTACGTATAATCGTTGTTCTCGTCGACAACAGCGCTCACCGTCGGCAACGCACGCGTCCCAACTGCGCGAACAATGACGCGTTATATATATATATATAAATAAATAATATTGACGGATAATTTTTTTTAGTCCGAATCTTTTCTAGATTAGAATTTTCAGAACAGATTTCTATGATAAATATTACAGAGTATATGAGTATTGCGATATAATTTGAAGCTTGAAACCGGTATCGAAACAGGGATTGAATACTGACCGATGTTGGTATCGAAATCGGAATTTTCGATTAGGTTTCGTGCCCCGTAACATATCATAAATTTCTTTGCGGCCATAGAGTTCAACCGCGCAGTAGCGTAGTAGCAAACAGTCGATTATCATGTGTGATATTTTATTTTCTACCGGATTGTAGGTATGGGTATCGGACGGGTGTGCGCGATAGACAAGGGACCACGCGGTGCGATCGACGCGGTGACGACGACGATGGATAACACAATTAAAGTAACGAGTTCGGTCGATCAGTACGCATAACATTGTTTTGGAATTTGGAGCGTAGCGACAAAAACGATTTTTCGAAGTAAATCGTTTCTATTGCCTCTGGGCGGTCATACCGCAGACTTATTGTCTTGTAGTTTTCGTAACGATTGCGAAAATACCGAGAAAACGTGCGTGATAACGATTTCTGTTATTTTCGAAGCGGGGTTTTTTTTTTTTTTTTTTCCAATACAGCCAAAAGATTTGTAGAAATCTGAAATTATCACCGAATGCTTATATTTACTGTTATTTCCCGCGGACGTGGCCAAATTTACAAAACGTTCCGACAACTTTCGAGCATTTCATTTAATATTCAATAATATGCTTGCCAAGTTTTCGTTTGGTTTTGCGTTATGGCGTAGTTGTTGTTGGACCAGGAGGTGAAAAACAATCGTGCGTAAATATTCAGTAAACATTTTCACGAACTCTGTGAAATCACGGCGTTTAGCACGACGCGTGTGCCATCCGACTCCGCCGAGAATCGTTTTTCGCGGGCGATAGTCCGTCGTCGCTCGCGGACGTAAATTAAATTTCCCTGTAACACGCGTACCTCCTCGGTTTCCCACCTGTTTAGTTATATACGTGCGCGGCGCGCGTGTGTGCACGGCATCAATGATAATAGCGATCGATAACGGCGGGGCTTCGGAAAAGTGGTCGCAGAATAAAACATCATAAACCGTTACGTTGTTGTGCGTGGTGGCCCCGGTGTATTGTACCGGCCACGCGATAACGGGCGTAAAATCGAAAAACAAAATCGACCGTGTAAAACGACTATTAATACTTATTCCGGGCGGGGTTGGGGGGGGGGGGGGGGGGGGGGCNGGGGGGGGTGGGAGGAGGCTGGGCGGCGGGGTGTGCCTGTACATTCGAAACCGTTTTGCGCGGAAGTTCCTGCGGTAATCGGTTAAAAGAAAACTACGCTCCGTACGCGTGTAAATGTAATTATTTTTCAAATTATAAGTCAGAGATGCGGTGTTATTTACGAAACCATACGTGCGCAGAGCGGCTTACGCCGCGATAACGGCGGAGGTAAGAAAAAAAAAATCACCCTCGAGCGCGGCACTCGCGTACGGCCGAAACGCGCCTGATTACTGTCGAATCGCGCTGTTTAAACCGTCGCGGGGAAACGAGTCGAGACCGTACGGACGGGCGGGCACAAGGACGTTTACCTCTAACGAATTGTTTTCGTTCGCGATCACTGGAATTCCTATTTGATACGCGTGCCGTTTAAAAACGGCATTTTACGAGAGACGCGTCTATAATAGGAAATTGCATTTGGTGGAGAACGCGTACAATCCGATTCGCGATTACGTGACGCGCGGACACGTTTATCATGCGTGCGTTGCGTTACGCGCGGTTTTAGATTCTGAGCGGAGCGACGAACGTTATTGCAGGTTAACGCAATGATATTTACCCGTTTGTCTATTATTTATTCGCTTTTAACCCGTGAACGGTTGTTCACCAGATGTTTTGCTCCGATTTGCGAATGCGGCAATTTTCTCGAAAGCGAATCCGACCGGGATGGTACCGAAACAATGTAATTTTTCGATTATCCCGGAAGTTTTCGCGTTAAATTGAATAACCGGTTAGGTTAGGTCAGGCGCGAATTATTGTCGAAATCATAAATACTACCGACGTTCAAAACATGTACGACACCATCGGCGGATCCGGAAATTCGTTTAAGGGGGGAGGGGGCACGTTATTTATATTTTCGGTAAACCAATTTGAGACATCCTATTAAATCGATATAAGGATGTAGAAACAAAAACTGTATGTCCGTTGACGGGGGAGGCACGTGCCCCCGTGTAACAGCATGGCCGCACTCCGCGTCCGAAAAACCCCCCGGCGTCCGCGGTCAAACGTTTCCCCCGAAATTCGGGCGCCGGTCGCGATACGGGAAAAACCCCATTACGGACACGGCGGCGGACGTTTCTCCGGTTCCTGCGTTATCGTGCGCTTGTTGCGTTCCATTACACCGACGGCGGACTCGGTCGCACGTACGCTACAATAACATTACGCTCGCCGCGTACTCGCGGCGTATTGGGACCGGTCCAAAATCCAATTAGTGCAACTGGAACGGGTGAATAATCGACTGCGTTCACTCACGCGTAAAAAATGTATAAATATATACGCGTAGACCGTCGCGGCCTCGGACGGCGTATTTTTTCCCTTTTATTTTTTTCCCCCCTCTTCTTCTTCTTCTCCACCTCCTCCTCCTCCTCCTTCTTCTTCTTCTTCTTCTTCTTCTTCTTCTTCTTCTTCTTCTCCCGCCGAAGGCCGCCGCCGCGGAACCGATCCGCAAAACGATTGGTCGTCGGGATAACATTAATAATAATATTATCATTATTGTTTATATGCGCGCGCGTAGGATACGTTCCGCCCGTCCGCCGCCGGCGCGGCCCGTTGATTAATGTCCCCGTTCTAACGGCCGAACATCCGTCCGCAGAGCCGATTTTTCACGCGACCGCGGCGATCGAAATAATATAAACAGAAATATACGAGTTTCCGTCCGTCTCGCGAAGGTCGCAACGCAATATACTTATGGTATTATTGTGTCGAACGAAACCACTGCTGTGTCGCATCGATGTCATACAGGGGCGGGTCGGTTCTCGTTTGTTTTCCTTTCCCCCCCCTTTTTTTTTTTTTTTATGCGGCCGCACCGGGTTTAATCGTTTATTTCATTTAGCGAACAACACCAATATCATCGATCGCTCTACGCAGGAAGGCGCGCTCACAGCGGAACGTCGGACATTGGAAACTAATAACGGTTAAGTGACCGCGAAGTCGGCCCGGGAAAAGACGGACGGACGTGCAAGATTATACGGGGAAGCATACACATACATGTATTTCAGGATCGCGTAAAGCGGACGAAGGTCGCGATCGCGATCGGGACTTTCAGAGAACACCTATATCCACACGCGTTTTATCCAATGCCAGAACAACGAGTAGAAGACATTGTACGAGGTTATTTTTAAACGTCACGGCTGCAGATGCCGCATAAAGTCCATTTCGATTTTCCATAGCCCCTATTCACCCGAATTCAAAAATTTGAACTGTCGACACCAAAACAACACCAAACAGGATTCGTTTCACGTGGATATATAAAATAATGACCGCAGCAATCACTCGAGTGATGGCTGCGTTGACGTCGCCGCGAAATTGGCTCACGCGCCTTTAAAGAGATCGTATTGGCAAAGGGCGGCCTTGAAATTTTACACGCTAATTACAAGAAATCGAAAAACACCGTTTTCGACCCTCGGTGTTCGAAGCGATCTATTGAGTGATGGTTTAAAGGTGATCTACGTGATCGTCGCTACTGCGAAAATAGCGAAAACGTCAAGACCAAGCTCGCGGATTTTCGCTAATTATTACTTGTTGAACAACGGCGTTAGTTTCGTTGATTTTCCGGTTAGGTGGATGATGGGTCAACCTCACGGTGGTGATGACGTCCGCGAATCAAAGTCGTCGTTATTTTTAATAGTATTTTAGAAAGGACTTCTAAACGTTTGGGAAAGTGTTGTAAATATATCGGTATTATTTATTCAACTATATATATAACGAAGACTGTTCTCACGTTTTATAACACCGGCTACAGGCAGACCCATAATGCCACATCCGTAATGGCTACTTCCCGTATTACCCACTTAAATACCGACCTATAATTTAAACGATGAATTGGCTTTTCACAACGGGATCTTAAATGACCTAATGTATTCGCGTAAACTCACAAGCGACGTATTGGCGGACCGTTTAAACACGTGAATTTCCCGTCATCGAGTTTTCCAACATTGAAATTGATGTTTTTTGATATAACTACGTAATTATTAACTATAAATATTTTAATTTTTTAAATCAAGCTACTGAATGGGGAGTATTGCCGAAGCCACAAATGACTCATATATTATATACCTACTCGATTTCGGATGAAACATTTGATTTCATAATAACGGGAATGGAAATTATTCATTAGGTAACTTAGCGGAATAAAAAAACATCGAGCCATCAAATTTTCTATCATGGAAATGACTGACGAAAGGCAACCAGCAGATCCGAGGTGCTATATATTTGGGAACAAGCACATTGAATTGGTTTAGTTCATTCGCAACATGACAGATCAATCAAAATGTGGACTATGAACACAAGCTAAATCAGTTTTTCCGTCCTGCAATCACCGGTTTGCTATAGTCGATTGAGTCGTCTAAACACATGTTTTGGCGTCAATTCAGTCAATTTTGTTAATCAAGGCGTGGTATACTTAACAGATGTGAAGGTTAGACAACTGAAATGAAAGGATGCAGTAGACTTTTGGTCATGAGGAACTGAACCGCCGCATACTCGCTCCTTATTTAGGCGATCCTCCGAATGCGATGGTCTCGTAATACGCGTAGTAATAGTTATAAGTTATACGTTAAGTATAATAATTAATACGATTATAGAGAGACTCTTTTATTACCGTACTATAATAAATGATTACAAATAACGTTTAGTTTGTAGTATATTATTTAATAATTTTTTTTATAATTTTGTACATTAGTTTGTTTACATCAAACGTTATTATTACTATTACAACACGTGTTTTGCGAATTGGCGATTCGACCAGCACAAAAATCAGTAGGGCTTCTAAAAATATATAGCTGTATCCTATTCACTCGCTAGCTTGTTGAGCGCACTCACGTTTGAACAACACTAAAATTTAAATGTTTGACCTCCGGTCGCACTTAAGTCGAATCTTTAATTTTGTGAAATGCACTGTAATATAGTAATGACGTTTGATGTAAGCAAAATGAAGCACCTAGGTTTTATGTTTTACTTTTATCCAATTCTAAACATCATATACAAAAAGATGT